AAGAAAATAGTATTCAGTAAGTGGCTAGTATCGAATATACTCAATGAAAAAATACGTCCAGTTACTAACAAGCAAGCGAGGCCAACTCATGAAAACGAAATGGACATTTTTAACTCCAAATCCAAACTGGCAGCACCCCAATTCCTAAAGGTTGATACGAGAACATCCTGCCTGAATAAAATACATTATTTTCCGGGTTCAAATCGACTGCAACATTGACCGGAATCGATGTCAGTCGATGTAACCAATCGCTCCTCAAGAAGCACTGCTATTCAGCCAAAACGAGAATTAAAGAACAGCAATTAATTAAAATAACAGGGCATGTTTGTAGCCACTTCATAAACCCATATCTGTAAATAGATTCCGGTCATCATCAGGAAATAATTGGCGCAATGGGGTCTGCTTCAACCTCTGCAAAGACAATTCAATAATCTCTAAATCAAGAAAAACCAACGTATCAACCTGCTATAGTTTATGAAAATGGCGTTTTCCATATCAACGATAATTACAATAGTCAAAATATTATAAATAATTAAGCTTATGTTAAAAAGAATAAGAAAAATTGAAATTTTTTTATTGTTATTTTTTACTGACAGAAACGCAATTTAATCTTCAAATATGTTTATGAACAAATTTAGATTGGGTGGTAGAGAATTATAATTTTATGTGCTCTGCAGTTTAGGTAATGCCCTATAAGATTTTGACTTTTATTTGCTGTATTAGACGGAAATGCACTTCTTAATGAACCATATTCCAGTCTTTGATTTTTTATTTGCTTTGGGCTACAAGTGGTAAAAAATAAAATTTTGTGATAGAAAATGTTTTTTTTTGTAACTATTATTAACTTTACATACACATGCTAATCGTATGGAGTTCATGGCTAGAGTGCAAGAAGCTGTATTTTGACAGTTAAAAACATCAGAAAAACTCGCGATGTAATAAAGAATATTGTGGAGCCAGTTAAATCGACATTTTTTTTGTTTTAAAATGAATCGGTTTGAAAATCATGCTATATGCAGCATATGCGTGAAATTGTCTGATGTCTATTTACCCTGCGATGACTGATTTATCGGCATTAATAGAGGATTGTTTCGAATTGTTCACAACTATTTCCATCTAAACCACTCAAAATTCAAAGTACTAAATGCAAAAAAGCATCTAGACTCCAAGTCCTGTATTATGGCGATTAAGAATAATAGAGGTGTTGAAAGAATATAGAACCCATCTTAGCTTTATAATTGGAATGTATCAAAATTATCATGGAAACAAATAAAAACCAGATCTTAAAAAAGATTCTGTTATTAGAAACGTCAAGAAATTTTCAGTATAATTTTTTCTTGGTTACTCAAGAGGACAAAGTTTTCAATTCATTCCTCTGTTGTCAGTTTTTGATTTACATCAAAGCTATGTAGCGTCGGCAGTAATGATTCAAACAAAAATCGCAGCTGTCGGCGTCTTTAGGTTTCTTCAATCAAGAAACGAGATCAACTTATCTTCAATATTTTATTTACGTTGCAGTTTTTGTCGTTCACGTACTGGCTTTGGAAGAACGGGAGCTGTTGAAATTAAAATCGAGAATGAGCCTAATATTGTGGTGTCTGTATTTAATCACTATTTTATAGATGCTCCCAAAATATTATTAGTTCCATTCAATTGGATAACAAAAGTATTGGGCTGAGTTTTATTCGGGATGTTAATGACCAGAGTTTTTATTCAATACCTTTTACGAGGGATGTGAGCTCTTGAATATTAAAAAAAAATATTAAAAAATAAAAAGTCTTCGCTATCATCTTGATTTGGGTCTAAAGGCTGTCGTCGGTTAGGATTACTGCCTAACTCTTCCCTAGCACGAGTGTCGAGCTTCTTCAGAGGTCTTTCCATCTCCGATGTTGGACGTAGACCATTAGAATATATTGTTTCGCTACAAACAAGTTCATTTCAATAACACGCATAAACATTTCAACACTTTTTCTAATCTTTCGACTTTCTATTTCTTCCGTCGCACCGTTCGGCGGGTACATACAAAAACAACGGGTAGTGGTGATCAACAGAGCTCCCGGGACCCGCCAACCAATCGACGTTGGTGAGTAAGTTCGCTATCCTTGCACGACGGCGTTTAGACCCGAATCAAGGTAATAGCTTATCAAAGGGCCGCGAAAGCCTTAACCAATTGAAAAAGTCTGCGCCAGGTAACAATTTCAAATAGTTTTTCTAAAGTGTTTCAGTATGCTTTCTTAGAGAGGTTAATGTGTTTTGCAGATAATTCGTATTTCCGTAGGATAATTTCTTTAATCGAGGACGGTGAGTGCTCGGGTGGAATTTTTTGCAACTTAAGTTGGGAATTTGACTGTGTTGATTTTAAGGAACTTGGGGGAGCTCTGCACGCTTCGGGTATAAGGGTGCTCTAGACGTGCTCTAGACGAGATCAGTAGTTGTTTAGAAGATCGTTTCAGTTAGTCAACGCATAGAGATGGGTGTCCCTCAAAGTTCAGTTTTAGGCACTGTACTCTTCATATTATATGTAAATTGTATCTGATACGCTTTTTGTGATGTATACGGGTGATATATCCTTGGTGTTGTCGTGTGGAAATGACGATGACCTCTCAGAGAAGTGCTGTGGGGTACTCGGTAGATTGATCGCATGGTTTGAAAAAATATTATAGTTCAGCACAAGTAAAACCCATACTCTAAGGTTTCATAATTAACAGAAACAATGTGATAATTTTAATATCTGTTTTGGCAATAACATTATCCCAAGTAGGGATACTGTGAGGTTTCTAGGATTGAGTTTGGATGATTGTTTAAACTGGAGGTCTCACAGTGATACTCTTATTTCAACTCTAAATGGAGTCAATTATCTTTGACTAAATTTTCGTGAGATTTTAACTAGGCAACAGTTAATTTATAAAATGTGGGGAGCATCTATAAATGCCGATAAAGCATTTTTGGCTCAAAAAGGTATATTAAGGAGTATTGCGCATATTTCCAAGTTTACATCCTGTAGAGGATTATTTGCCCAGTACAAAATTCTCCCACTGGCAAGTGTCTTGATTTTTGAAATTTTATTGTATGCCTCTCAACAATTTATCGAATTTTAAATTAGTTGCTAACGTACATTCTGAGCATACAAGACAGAGCGGTAAGTTGTATGTTCCTTGTTGTAGGCTGTGGACGACTTGCCAATGGAGTTAAGAGAAAGAAATTTATTTATATTAGAAACATTTTTGTTATCCAACACATCTTATAGTCTAGACGAATTTTTTTGAGTAAATGTTTTTTTATATGTCTATGTATATTGTAAGCATATATATTTTTAATTATTTTTATACAATTTTGTAGTCCTTGGGAAACTAAATATTATTATTATTATTATTATTATTGAATCTTCATTAGTAAGACTCCCTAACCTGATCCAAAAATTATAAGTTGTCATAAAAGATATATATGTGTTTTAATTTTTTTAACAACTTTTCGGATTTTGTATTTGTACTATGTCAAAAATTTACATTTAGTTCGTCATTACTCGCACCACAGTATTTTTAGTTTTGTTGTAACATTACCACTTTGTTTCAGGTATCTCGCAAGTGGTAACATATTTTCCGATCTGTGCTACACCTATAGACTAGACATCTTCACAATTAGAAGTTGGTGCGTGAGAAAATTCAGAAACTTATGAGTCCTGAAATTTTTTTCGAACATATAATTGAAGACTGATCGGAAATGTCTGATAATTTCAACTGCAATTTTCCAAACTGTGTTGGAACCGTATGAATTCGGACAATTAATTAAGACTATAAACAACGCCTCAAATTCTTTAATTACAATATGTGATGCAAATTATTGTGGAAAATATGCCGTTTCTAATGCAGTGTCAGGGTTTAATACTTGTATTGCTTGGGCAATACAAAATAACGTTCTAGAACATCGAATCGTGTTCTTGCAGGAATTAAGAAATAAAGTTCAAGATGCAGAGCTGAAAAATAAGAAACAAACATAAATTACAAATATTATTACTCTTTCAGAAAATAATGTTTTATTGTTTAATTTTACTTCTGTTCTTTAAAAAAACGTTAGATACATGTTTTGTTAGTTAAAAAATTATATTACAAATTTATTGTGTAAAATTTATAATACATACAGGTTTACATAAAGGTTTGTAAACAGTAGATTTTGGAAAAAGGTGCATCTGTTAGAGTCGAAAGCATTTTTATTGTCCCCAAATTTAATGCAAGGAAAAATCTTAATTAGAAAAAGGAAAGTTTTAACCACAGGCTTACAGGAGGAAAAATATTTTTTGAAGGTGCGTGTCGGTTTTTAACCAAGAAGTGGCGGGAATTATTAAATTATGTTGTTTCTTGCTCAAGTTCAAGAAAACAAACAAATAAACTAACGCTGCATAAAGGGAACCACCACGAACCTAAGATAAATGCTGTTTGAGTAGAAGTAGAATTTTTAGCGTTTTTTATTTCAATAGGTACAGAACACAAGATCTATAACATATCTACATCTACATCTACATCTAGCACTATATAAAGCAAAGTACAAAATTTTTGTAAATATTAAAAAGCAATTTAATATTATAGTATGCAACAAGTTTGATAAATGTCAGCAAAAAGTGAGAAACGTAAATATATCTTGGCTAGAATTACCTCCAATCCTAAAATACACACATCTCACGCCCTTGACCCGAGCATATTTGAAAATTTTTAAATAGGGAATTGAGAAAATATACTTTTACCTACCGGATATGAAATATCTCGTTCTCTTCTATCAAAATTTTGACATATCCGAAGTTGTAGTTGAGGTACATCCGTTGATATTATAAAATGCAAAGTATAGTTAATTCTAATTTGCTAATTACTTTAGCTTTAGCTGAGTCGTCAAAATAACAATTATTAGCTTATCTGGTTTACAGATAAATATTTATCAGCTTTTCAAATCTCGCAGTTTTGTATAAATAAGCACAATATGCTAATATCGAGACAGTCATGATTTATTACCAAATTTTAATAGGTGTATTATTCATATCGTTGGTGGTGAGTCAAGTTCAAAGGTTTTTCAAAAAATACCTTAAGCATAAAAAAAATTAGACTCTCCTTACTAGAGGTAGATTCAATCTTTAAACTTACAGTTGAATAGTAAAATGAGCAATCCGTATATAGTAGATCTAATTTTGTTTATTGCTGTTCGCGAAAATATATAATTTTCCCTTTTTAGGATGCAGATCTTTTGATCGATCTTCCGGACGGCACAATTCGTGGAGCCGAAACCAAAACCGAAAATTACACATACTATGCTTATCGAGGTATTCCGTTTGCAATTCCTCCCCTAGGAAATTTGAGATTCCAGGTAAATTAACTGAAAATAAGTAAAGTTTTCCATGGGTTTGAATAAAAATCGTAATTTAATTACACGTTGCAGGCTTCAGTCCCAAACACACCATGGGATGGAATTCTACACGCAACTAAGTCGAAAGATTGTTGCATATCGATGACCTATTCTGAAAAGGAACCTGACCAAAGTGAGGACTGCCTTCATATCAATGTTTACACGCCTCCGCGAAATGAAAGGCTCTGGACATAAAATTTCATTAAATAAATAAAGATCAATTTTCACTCAAATAAGAAGGATACCCTAGATAAGTTAACTTTATTACAATATGTACTTCGCGAAAATGATTTTGTAACTATAGAAAACGACACAATCACCTTGCAGAAAGAGGCGTAATCAATAAATTGCTCTGAACTGATCCAACCCCTTCTTGAATACAAAGAGGGCGAATTCTACACTTTTGCAACTATTTTAATTGTGTGTCTTTGCCTTTTAAATATTTTTTGTATTAAGGAAACAAACCTTGTAGCGGTATTTACATCAGTTCAATTAAGTAATTAATGTAAGATTACAGAGAAACTACCAGTAATGTTCTGGATATATGGGGGCGCATTTACAACCGGATGTTCCAGTGATAGTTACATGGATCCTTACGCTCTCGTAAGTGAAGACGTCATTGTGGTAACATTCAATTACCGTCTTGGTCCGTACGGTTTCTTAAGTACCAATGATAGCGTAATTTTGAGTAACGCCGGACTCAAGGACCAACTATTAGCGATGAAGTGGACTCAGAAAAATATTGAATTCTTTGGTGGTGATCCAGAAAAAGTGACAATATTTGGCGAGAGCGCAGGTGGTATGTCCGTGGGAGCACATATCGCTAACAAAAAATCGGCAGGATTGTATAGAGCTGCGATTTGCCAGAGCGGTTGTTCGTTAACCACTTTGGCTGCCACATCTGAATCTAATCCGAAACAAGTTGCCTACGATATTGCCAGATCTATAAATCCATTTATTTCCCAAAATAGCGAGGAAATCAGGGACTTCTTGCAGAGTCAACCAGCTGATGTGTTGACTAGAGCCTTCAACGCTAACCCCCAAGTAAGTGGAAATTAAATTTGAGGTATATATTTATAGAACACTTCTTTATAGGCGGGACCAGTAATAGAAGTTGAAGACGAGAATGCATATGTAACAGATCTCCAGTTCGGGTTGATCGAATCTGGAAACTTTAACCAAGTACCTCTAATCATAGGAACAACTTCAGCCGAATCACTTATGTTTTTGGGAAGTGTGTAATTCTCTTCCTATATTTATTTCGTGTTAACAATACATTTTTCTGTGTTTTAGTTGTACTGCCCGAACTAATAATAGCTGCACTTGGTTTTAAACCTGCAGTCTCTAATACCGTCAAATCTAAATCCTTTACCAGGTACTAATTTAACCGAAGCTGCAGAGTTAATCAAACAGACATACGCTATCTAAATGAATGAGCACTAAAACAAACCAAAACTAAACAAATATCTTGACACTAGTAGTGTTTATTGTAGCCAAAATAATTTTAGTTTTCCAGTGACCAATTATTTGTGAGATCGTCGCTCAAACAAGCTGAACTTCAGTCGAATTATACTCCTGTGTATTTTTACCAATTTTCTTATTATGGAAGTTTAACTTTATTTCATATCGCGATTGAAGGTACCCCATCGACATTTTCAAACCCATACAGAAGAAAAAAAATCAATCGTTTTCAATTTAAGGTGCTGGAAAAGTCGGTCATGGAGAAGATGTCCTTTATCTCTTTGACTACCCACCATTCAAACTGACCACAGAGGAGGAGTTTCTAACGAGAAGCAGACTGGCTAGATTATGGACCAACTTTGCAAAAACGCTGTAGGTTAAGTTCTCGTAAACACTCCAGCTTAACCCTATAAGTTCTTTTCTTAGGAATCCCACCCCTGATGAGTCGGACTCCCTCCTTAATGTGACCTGGCCTCAAGTTGCTGGTTTAAACATCCCCTATCTCGATATAGATACCACTCTTGAGGTCAAGCCTGGTAAAAAGGCGAAAGAAATGGAAATGTGGAACGAAGTTTTCTATTCGTACGGCCAACAGCCTTTCGTAGGATTCTGATTTTGTGACATTATTTGTAAAATAGAAATTTTAACTCTATAAAGTGATTTTTCTTTGCATCTGTAGAAGGCCAGATTAGTTTCGCAGCTTGTTTAAACATATTTTATATTAACAACTAAACTGCGAAATGTAATCTAATAGTAAATAAATAAATAAATAAAATAAATAGTAAATAAATAAAATAATAAATCGATTTTTAAATTTGCAGTACCTCCGTCTGAACATAACAAATAAAATTTTAGTTATTCTCTCTATTTTAGTTTAAATTTTGAGACTTTTATAGACATGAAAGAAATATATTCCGCAGGTTGGTAATAATTAATAAATGGCATGAATAAGCACAACGCTGGACATATATAATATGAATTAAATTCTATCTTTATTACAATGTATATCCAAATTAACATACACATTTCCTTTTGTATGGTAATTTTTAGTTACATGCAATGCCAATTAAAAAAAATGCCCAATCGTATTATTAATACGGTTCGCATGTGTTAAACTAGTGTAGCAGTGAAAGTAGGCAAGTATGTCTTTGGAGAATGATTATGAACTAAGAGGTATTTGATTGACATTAAGTTGCCTAAATCAAACTAACGTTCGCATATCTCGGCAGCAGTGAAGACAACAGATGCTTCTGTCGAATTTGGGAGGATACTGGCCAGTCCTTCAAGAGGACATGAAGTTGTCATCAGCGGTGAGTGCCTAAGTCTTGTAAATTTCATTTTCATCAACATTTTCATAGGTATATCGGGAAAATTCCCAAACTGTGACAATATTCAGCAGTTCAAAGAAAATTTATTCAACAAAACTGATATGGTATCAAGTGAACATAAAAGATGGGATATCATTGATCCAGACGTTCCATCTCGAATGGGCAATCTTCTGGGAATTGATAAATTTGACGCTGGATATTTTGGTACGATTTACCAAATATAAAACATTCAAAGCTAAACCATTTACAATAATTCAGAAAGTTTTGGCATTAAAAATGTTATTTTTAAAGGGATTCATCACAGGCAAGCAACTTCTATGGACCCAATGATAAGACTAATTTTGGAAAGGGTCGTAGAAGCTATATTTGACGCTGGATTGAATCCTTCGGATTTGAAAGGATCAGAAACAGGGGTTTTCGCCGGAGCCTGGTTAAGGGAAAACGAGCAATTGAGGAATCAGGAAAAACTACATGCCCAACAGTTTGCCATAACTGGGTAACTATTTACGCATATTTATTCCAAAGTATCAAGACATAAAATTGTAACTTTTCAATACCTATGAGAAAAGATTAGCAATTGTGATTTTATTTCAGCTCGGAGCGCTCCATGCTTGCTAGAAGAATCAGTTACTTCTTAAAATTGAAAGGCCCTTCATTTGCATGCGACACCTCGTGCAGTACGTCACTATACTGCTTGCAGCATGCCTACACGGCGTTAAGAATGGGCCAATGTGATCAAGCCATCGTGTGCTCCGCAAATCTGATTCTACTTCCGTTTTATACACAGCAATTTGGGAGGTATGAACGGTCTTTCTTTGGGTAGAAAATTACTATTCATTACTTGATTTACTATGATCACTAGACTGGGTCTTTTAAGCAAGGACGGCAAATGCAAATCATTTGACGACAATGCCGATGGTTTCGTCAGAGCAGAAGCCATTATAGCGATGTTTCTTCAAAAGTCCAAAGATTCGAAACGCATTTACGCAACGGTGGTTCATGCGAAAGGAAATTCTGACGGATTCAAGGATGCAGGCATCCTGTTTCCCTCGCGAGAACTGCAAACGCAACTGTTAAAGGAATTTTACCAAGAATGCCAATGGGTTAAAGCATCTGATATCTCATTCTTGGAAGGTCACGTTACAGGTAAATATTTCATATAACGCTTCGAAGTGCACAATAACTCTCCCCTTAAGGTACGAGAGCTGGTGATCCTGAGGAGGTGAATACCATAGAAGATGCTTTGTTGAAGCAAAGATCTTCACCATTGCTCGTAGGATCTGTTAAATCCAATATGGGTCACGCTGAAAGTGCTGCGTCTTTATGTTCAGTGGCAAAGGTTGGATAAATGCATACCAGCTATGAACATCGTTAGACGTGAATAAACACAGAAACACAGTAACCAGTGCTCCTTTTGCAGGCAATTATAGCTTTCGAAACGAACATCATCCCTCCCAACCTTCACTACAATACACCTCGTGGTGGCTTAAAAGTTTTGAAAGACGGTAGATTGATAGTGGTGACCGAGAAAACACCTTTGCCAGGCCAATCCGGCTTAATCGGTAATCACAGTAGCAAATGAAAATGTTTTTTTATTTCATGAATCACTCACCTGTCACTAGGTGTCAATGGTTGGGGTTTTGGCGGAAGCAACGCTCACGTCTTATTGAAACAGTTCACCAAACCAAAAAGATCTGCTAAAATGTTGAAAGAGGGAGAGTTATTATTGGTATGCGTTAGCGGACGTACCAAAGAGTCGGTTACTGCATTGCTCGACGATGTTATTGCAAACGGAATAGATAGAGAACAAATCGCGTTGTTGTACAATATTTTCAAGACCAACGTTGACGGTCATCTCTATAGAGGGTTTTCGCTGGTATCAAAATTAGGTGAAACTTTGCGATCTATTAGTTTTACTAGAAGTCGCAAAACGCCTATAGTGTTTGTATTCACTGGACTACAGAACTTATCCCACGAATCACTGCATCAACTGATACATATACCCTGCGCATCTGATACAATTCAACGGTACTCTTCTTGTGATATTCGTGTCGGTTTAGTTGGAAATGGTGTTGTATTTTAGAATATCGGGTTACACAAAAGATAATGAGTGCTTTGGCAGCATATCGAACGATATATCAATCAACCTGCCAATCATAGATGTCCTTAAGGAAGTAAAAATTGAACCACAAAAAATTATCGACAGGTCCATTGGGGCATTGGCTTCTTCGTATTTTCGAAATGATATTACTCTGGAGGAGGCACTTGATTATGTCGTAAAGAACAATAGCTTTAAATCTAAACAATTGAGGCCCTTGGTTGCGCAGACGAGTAAGAACGGTTGGTACGGATTTTAAATGATTTGAGGTCTTCACGGATGTGTAGTGTTACGATTTTTAGAATTAAACCAAATTATAATATGAAGGATCCTAGAAAATGTTTTCTTCCATATTTGATTTACAAACTTTTATGACATTTCGGGTTTTTCTGTTTTCTCTAGAAAACAGCTGATATTTTATAAACTTATACCTATTTATATTTTATATATTATAATTCCTTTCTTCCAAAGTAGGAATTTTGTACATCTGAAATTAGGTGTACTTTCAACATAGTTTCTTATTATATGGAGAGACTATTCTGGAAAATAGTAAAGCCACCCATTTTCGCAGATTTTGGATCCCAATTTAAAAAAACGTAAAATTTGAATAAAATTGTTTATTAAAAAATAAAATGAGTAAAATTAAAATTAGATTAAATTTGAAATAATTACTTCTGAAATATAATAATGATTATAATTACCGTGATTATTATTTAAATTAAGTTCTTCAAGAGGAATTGGCCAGTTTCATACGACAAATCAAACAACGCGGAGAAGTCTCAGGGACACTGATCATTGAAGTAGGCAATCATAATATTTGTGAAGCATTACAAAAAGGAATGGATTTCACCAACTGTAGTTTCATGCAAATTACAGGTATGACAGAACTGTTTTCTGCAATTGGTAGGTAGGGTCGCAATTTTGGTTTACAGGAACGAAATATTAAAAATCATCATTTCAGAATGTACGAACTCGGACACAACGTCCAACTGCAAAATTTATTCCCGAAAGTAAAGTTTCCGGTCAGCCGCGGGACTCCGATGATATCGCCTGCAATTAAATGGGATCACACTAGAAACTGGTTCGTAATGCGTCAGGTTCCAAATGAGCACAAGTTAGAAGAGAAGACATATCGTATAATGCTAAGAGATTCCAGTTACAAGTTCTTGGAAGGGCATCAGATAAATGGTATGCTGGATACTAAACAGTAAAGTTCAAATAAAACTGATCAGTTCTAGGGAGGATCGTATTGCCAGCTGCTAGCTATCTGCAACTCGCTTGGGAAATTCTAGCCCAATTGTGCGGCACCCCGATGTCAGAAATGAACGTAGTATTTGAAAATTGTCAATTTAATTCTATATCGGAGGTTCCTGAAGAAGAACCTATGTTAATTTTGAAAGGGATGCTTCTAAAATCTGGATATTTTGAAATTTTTGAAAATATGCGACCAGTTGTTACAGGACGGATTTGCATTCATTTGAGTGAAGCTAATTCTACGGAACTAGCTGCAAATCTAGATCGATTTTTTGATGGTCCGCTAATGACCAACAAACAGATTTATAGGGAGCTGAAAATGAGAGATTACGGATTTAAGTAAGTTGCATTTGCATTAGTAACCTGTATATCTAGATTCGTTTGGATATTAGAGGCGAGTTTGCAAAGCTAGAAAATTGTGACGTTGGTATCGAAGTAGCCGAGACAACGTGGAACAACGACTGGGTCAGCTTTATCAGCAACATGTTGCAGTTGAGGCTGTTGCAAGAAGAAAACCGTATGCCAAAAATTCCCGAATATATAGAAACATTGACAGTGTGTGGTAAAAATCACTTGGATTACATAAGTACCATAGGAAATAGGATTAAAGTCCACGCTCCCAAAGATAGCGCACTTATCAAGTAAGAAATCATCTGATTAGTCTTATTCTTGTTATTAATTTAATTTAACTCCTATTGCCAAATGCTAGTTTTTTATTGTTGGATGTCATTTTTCAAATTAGGTCAGGTGGTGTTGAAATTAGAGGTGTCCGGCTTCGCTCTGTTCCAAGCAGAACTGTCCAGTCGCAAAAATCGATTTTGCAAAAATATTCGTTCGTTTCGCATTTCGCTCACCTTTGTCGAACTCAGGCGGTACTGGTTACTCTTCAGATTGTTATAGAAAATTCAGAAAACATCAGGCCATTGGTTGCTGTCGAAATAACCTTAACGGACGACGATAACGATGTTGATTTAAAATCGATTCGAGAATTAATCTGCAATCTGTTGGTCGACCAGCGCGGTATTCAACCAGACGTAATAGTGTTATCAGAAAAGAAGTTAAATGCTAAAATGGCTTTGAAGAAAAATTCTACCCAAAATTACAATCTAGTCTTCGGATCCGAAATCTTGAGCAAATTTCAAGTAACATATTATCTATATTTCGTGATTAATTTGTTATCTATTTATTCTATTTAAGATCCTGCAACCGGTTTTGAAACTGTTCAACCAAAACGTTTTTTTTATATCCAGAGAGCGTTTAGAGTTTGACAAAAGTTCTTGCGATGCCCAGTACGTCGATATTATCGCTTCCTTTAAAACAGAATTGGAAAATTTGGTACTTTTTCGAAAATCGACCACTGCGGATCCAGTAGCGGTTATCGAATTATCAAATATAAGGCAATTTGAGTGGTCCCCCAAACTAGAAAAAACTCTTAAAAAAGACGGCAACTTGTTACTTTATTCCCAAAATGATGTCGTTGGTGTCATAGGTTTGACCAAATATCTCAGACATAACTATAGCGGGCAAAACATCAGATGCGTTTGCGTTGTCGGTACAAAGTTGCACCACAACCAAGCTCTGGTACTGGAGCAACTCCAAAAGAATCTAGTCATCAACGTCTACAAAAATGACCAGTGGGGCACGTACAGGTATTTGAACCTTGATTCATCGCACACGGCATCCGAGCACTGCTATATGGAACAGTTGCAGAGGGGCGATTTAAATAGCATGTGCTGGATTGAGGGGCCTCTAAATGATAGCAGGTTGTCTAAATGTAATCCAAATATTATTAAGGTAGTTTAGCTTGATGTAGTTATAAATTATTTAAGATTAAGTGGTAACTGTAGGTCCATTTTGCATCAATTAACTTCCGAGACCTCTTAGACGCTGGAATGAAAACTGTAATGGATGCTAATTTTGGTAATGGAATACGGACTAATACGCCGGTTTTTTGGGAGTATTCAGGAATCACAATGAAGTAAGTCATGCTTGAACAGATTAAGGGCTACACTAACATGCAGTTGACTTCATAGAGGTGAAAGGGTCATGGGGTTCAAAAATGGTGGAAACATCTCCACAATTATAAAACCCCACGATTATTTTAAATGGCCGGTACCGAGAACTTGGGACTTGAAAGATGCAACCACAATTCCGGTTCAATACGTCACTTGCCTATACTCGTTTATGGTATGACTTCTAAGTGAATATTTCAACTAAACTTTCAGAATCTGTTTTTAAGGTGGCTAACCTTACACGGAACAAATCTATTTTGGTTCATTCGGAAAACACAGGTATCAAATTAGCAGCAGTTCATTTAGCTCTGCGTATTGGATGCACCGTTTTTACTACAGCTCGCAGTCAGCAGGAGAGAGATTCTTTAATCAGCCGTTTTCCTCTTTTGCTCGGTAATTTTTTGAATCTGTGATTTCAAATATTGCAAGGAGAGCTTTGCTTTAGATAATCATTTAATGGATTCAAATCATTTGAATTTTGAGATGCAGATGATGAAAGCGACCAGTTCGAAAGGGGTGAACTGTGTACTGAATTCTTTATCTGGTACAAAGAGAATTGCTTCTATTAGATGTTTGGCAAAAGGTGGCGTGTTCTTGGATACAACCGAACAAGAATCGTCGAACAGTCTGTCGTTAGCGCTATTTAGAAAGCAGGCAAGTTATCACGGTGAGTACAACCTTATTGATGTGTTATTTATATGTTTATTAGTTCACTTCACTTGAGAGTTCTACATAGTATTCTTTTAGGCATTTTCCCGAATCAACTCTTTAAAATTCCCGATAAAGAAAAAATAAAGTTGAGGAAAGCTTTTCAAGAGTTGTTGGATGAAGGGGAGGTAGTGCACCAGCAACATAACGTTGTTGAAATAGACAAGGTGGAGTCGGCTCTTCAATTCATAGAGTCGAAGGAATTTGATGAGAAATTAGTTGTGCGAATTAGTGAAGTAAATGCGTCCAAAGAAAAAAGTCCGTTCGGAATGAAAATTCCGTGTCTCTCTAGGTAATGTTATTCAAATTAAATACTATCTCGTTATTTATTATTCCACCATAACCGCTTGCTTTTTACTTTCCTTTCAATAATACTAGTTTCGGTACAACTGTCTCAAACAATTTTCTAGTTTTTTAGAACTTTCGGAGGAACTAGTTATTATGAAAAATTGTAAGTGGTGTTAAGTCTCAGAATTCAATACACCAAAAAGCAAAGCTAACAAACAGAACATGTAACTCACTCCCTTTAATAGAACTTCTGATGTTTGCTTTAATACCATATAATCTCTCAATGAAATTTCTTACAGAATGATTTATAATTTATGCAGGTATTACTGTGACGGAGATAAATCTTATATAATTTGCGATCGTCGTGATTATGTTGGACTGGAGTTAGCTGATTGGTTAATAAGCCGGGGCTGCCGAAAACTTATCTTGGCTCACCAAACTTGTGTTGGAATTGCTTACCTAGCATATAGGACAAAGTAAGGTTTAATGCTTCTTATAGGTTCAGTCCCTGCCACGATGGTTGGTATCTATTGATCTATAACAAATATTAGAAGGAAGGCTGAATTTCCTTGTCCATAAATATTTTTTTTTTACATTTTTTGGGTTAGTTCTCCGACATAAGCTATGTTATTGTGAATTTTTCAGATTTTGGAAAAAATATGGCTGCACGGTCGAGACGTTCAGTCTTGAATGCGACGAATATGATATTTCCACATTCCAGGGCTGCGAGAATCTTGTAAATCGAGCAAATAAATTAGGACCAGTACAGGCAATTTTCCACTTGACCACTGGAGCTACATGTCTAGAAAAAGATCAAGAATTAGACGAACCAGTTCGCTCAATTTTTAATTCTAAATTCAGTTCAAAAGTACGGGCGACCGAGTGTTTCGATATTGTTTCCAGAAAGCTGTGCCCAGAACTGAGGTGAGTTTAGAAAAATCTCAAGAACCTGAGAAGACACTTAATAAATATCTAAAATGTTTGCATTTATTTTGTCATTGTTTAAGTCAACATTTGTGGTCTGTATTGTGTTTTAGGGACTTTGTGGTCTTCTCTTCGATGGTCAGTGGAAGTAAACCATGTTTTTTTGAAATGGTCAACTACATCGTAGAGGAGATTTGCGAAAAGCGGCTTGCCCAAGGTTTTCCAGCCCTCGTAATTCGGTCTGATGAGCCTACGGAGGTATTTATGATTTGTTTGTAAATCTAAAAAATATTCTGTAATATGTGTATTAATGGCAAAACTGGTATAAAAAATTATACCACAGAGAAAAATTTTGCTGAATAATTACACAAAATAAGTACCATATAAGGTTGCATTATATTGATGAGAAATATTGACTTTTTTTTAAAATATATATAAAATTTTTTGCTAATGTTTAAGAAAATTAGTGACAAGATTTAGTATAGCAAAATAGTCTATACTTTTTATGTTTTCTACTTAACAATTGGGAAAGCAATATTTATAGTGTGTTTTTTTCACGAATTTGGTTTACAATAACCGAGGAATGTCAACAAAAAGAAAGATAGCACAAAAGCAATTTTATCTGACACTATTCGGAGGGATATTTTACCAAACGTTTGTTTAGATTGAAATGGGGAGTTTTACTAACGTAACCCAAGCTGAAAACGGAATTTGCTTGAAAGTGTTAGACCAACTACTTCGGCAGATCGACACTGCCATTGTTTCCAGTACAAAGTTAACCGCAGGAAATGCGAATGGCAGGGAAACGGATAGTATTTTAAAAGCTGTTGCTGATGTTATAGGTACGAATAAAACTTTTCCCATTTACTTTGCAATGTTGACATGGGTTCATTGCAGGTCTTAAGGATTTAAGAACAGTGAGCTTACAGGCGTCATTTGCTGAACTAGGCGTAGACTCTATTACCGCTCTCGAAGTGCAACAGATCTTAGAAAAATACTATAGCATTAATCTTTCGGTACAGGAAATTCATAGTATGACTTTAGCCAGGTGATTTCCATTCCAAATTTTATACCTTAATGACATTTAACCTAAAAAAATCTAAATACGACTCTTTCTTTAGGCTTCCAGAAATTCCTATTTCCAACATTGAGATTGACAGTAAAGGGTCGTCGAGCAAATCTGAAGCTGTCATGAAAATGGTTCTAGAGGTGATAGGGTCTCAACAACCTCCAGCTGCACCTATAGTACATATTGAGAGCAAAGCAGTTAATAAAGTGAATTTGCCATCCGTCATACTGTTTCCCGGAATCGAGGGTGCGGTCAGCGTTTTGTCTCCTTTATACAATAACTTGGAAGCTAGCTTTGTGGGAATTCAGTACTGTAGCCACGATCAACCAGATATAATTGAAAAAATGGCTTCGAAATTTTTGCCGGTACTTATATCATATTGCCCTGGGATTGGCGTGGGTGTCTCAGTCTTAAATGACAACAACTTTCTACTTGATACTTAATAAATAACAAATCTGATTTTAGTATGTGACGTTTAAAAAGATTTTTACATGACTTTTTCCAGTTTGTGGAGAGATGGATGTCGCAGCCGTTTAAGATAATCTGTTATTCGTTTGGAGTGATTGTAGCTCTCGCATTAGCGAATATTTTGGAAACCAAGGGTTACTGTGGCAGCATAGTTTGTATAGACGGAGCACCAGATCAAGTTCGAGCCATTGTTAACATGTTGGATCTTTCCTCGGAGCAACGCTTTCAAAATCGCTTTTTGAACCATATGAAAATGAATCCGAAAATTTCACTTTCGCTAGAGGAACAACGAATTTACGCATCTGCAGTGTATAAACGATACCTAGCTATATTGAGGTTCGAGCCGATTTTTAAGTTGCACTCATTAGTGACGCTGCTGAAGCCGACTCAAAGGATTTTGAACATCCAAAAAGAAGACTATGGTCTTTCGAATGTGTGCCGAAATAAAGTAGTCATCAAAGTATTTGAAGGAACTCACGAGACCATTTTGAAAAACCAGAAACTTTGGCAATTTGTTGCCACAACTTTGAACATCTGAAATGTTTTTTTTAGAAAATAATTTCTTTTGATGTGCTTGTTTCATTTACTAACACACAAAAAACATTTTAGAGTATCTGCATTATTTAACGACATCCTTCAACGAGACGTTTGTAACAGATAAGTTCCCATTATATTAATTATTTAGATAAGCATAAAAAATAATAGATGTTTATGTCACTTTCGTGAAACAAAATAAAGACCCTAAAATGTTCCAATACTAATCGTAGATAATATGGACTCCTCACGAATGATGTCGGAAGAATATATCTCGCGTTGCTCCTACAGTATTGAGAGTTTTTTGTAGTTCTCGTAGTATTCGTATAAGGTGGATGGAGAATTAAGCTTATTAAATTTTAAATGTTGTTGATTGTCGTTCGACTGTGGAAATGCACATTATCAATAGTGACTTATCTATGGACGATCAAGCATAATATTGACAGCATTATACCAAAATCCGAATTGCGAAGAGCTTTTCCGTAGCAAAATCAGTTGTACCCACCAAAATTGTACCCACTTCTTTTGTTTACTTTGCATTTTCGTGGCCTATACCAATGCAATAGTTTGGTTTCTACTTACGAAAAGGTTTGTATCCATTTTATAGTCACGTTGTCGACTATTATGTACTAAAATGTGCTTATTTTTTGAAATAATTTAATAATCATCTCTCTTCACTCAAATAATACATTTTACATCAGCTTAGATAATAAACAACAAATATTACGCCTGCGTCTGTATAACTTATCTGAAATTATGAAATTCATCTCTATTTTTCCGAGAAATATTAGAGATTTTCTTCCACTTAACCAGGTAAATGGAAAACGCAATAATATACATGCATACATAAATCAAACTATTTTGAGTCTTTTGAGTCTTATATGTCGACAGTCGTATTTTCGATTAAGCAGTACCCTTTTCTCTGTTTTGAATTATAACTTTTCTTATATGCAAATAAATGACTATGCACGTCAATGAATTATATATAAAAACATGAATCATATATCTGCATCTTTTGAATACCACAAGAAAAAATCGGTATACAAGTTATTTCAACAGTATTCAAGTTGGAAATATGTATACTAAATAGCTTTCAAAATACAAAAAAATTCGTTTCTATCTTTTTTTTTAAACGGTACGAGAGTATTTACACAAGTAAAATAATGGTCAAGTGGCAAGAGGCAAATTTTTCGATTCAGTAAGGATAAAATTACTTTTGACAAGACGAATAATAAATTGAGTCAAAAAATCTATTTTACATTTACATTGGTTTACATTTCATTATCACCCCTTGTGTGAAGGTCACTCAAAGAACTCATGTAAATATCTTAAATAATATTCTTCCATGATGTTGTCTGGGATTATAAAATTTCTCTTATAATCTACTTACGCACAGAGATAAAGCCGTGAATAGCAAAACAAGATGCATTGACTTAGAAAGACACTAATATAGTTGACACTACTTCTTATAGCACTTGTAAAATTTGTATTTGTATATGAATCGGTTTGAAAAACATGCTATATGCAAAATATGCCTGAAATTGTATGATGTCTATTTACCGTGCGATGACTTATTTATCGGCATTAATAGGGGATTGTTTCGAATTGTTCACTATTTCCACCTAAACCACTTAAAATTCAAAGTGCTAAATGCAAAAAAGGTGAATAAAATAGTGTCTAGATTTCAACATATTTCATTAGAAATTTAAATCTTTCCACTCCAAGTCCTTAAGACTCCATTAAGAATAAAACTATCTTAGCTTTATAATTGAAATGTATCAAAATTATCATGAAAACAAATAAAAACCAGACCGTCAAAAAATATTCTGTTATTATAAACGTCAAGAAATTTTCAGTTCATTAGTCTGTTGTCTTGGTGATCAGTAAAAAAAATACGTTTTGATTGGTTAGAGATTACAGCTGTGGAATTTTCATGAAAACGTGTTTGTTGGTCCGGCTCAAAACCATCAGGAATTTCACGTGGTCTATGCAAGGTATTGTATCTGTATAGGGTATTGGATCTGTATATGGTGGATAATAATTGAAATACTGGGAACATTTCTGTTTGCAAGAATTAATTTAATTTAGAGCGCACTTCTGAACGAAATTGTAGTTTTTGATTTACATCAAAGCTATGTAGCGTCGGCAGTAATGATTCAAAAGATACAAAATCACAGCCGTCGGCGTCTTTAGATTTCTTCCTTCAATCAAGAAACGAGATCAACTTATCGTCAATATTATATTTACGTTGCAGCTTTTTTCGTTCACATACTGACTCTGGAGGAACGGGAGATGTTTTATTAGGGATGTTAATGACCAGGGTTTTTATATATTACCTTTTACGAAGGATGAGTTCCTGCATATTTTTAAAAAAATAGTTAAAAAACAAAAAGTCTGCGCCTGGTAACAATTTCAAAAAGTTTTTCTAAAGTGTTTGAGTATGCTTTCTTAGAGAGATTAATGTGTTTTGTAGATATTTGTTATTTCCGAAGGATAATTTCTATTATCGGGGACGATGAGTGCTCGGTTGGAGCTCTGCACGCTTCGGGTATAAGGGGTAAGCCTCTAGACTGGATCAGTAGTTTTTTAGAAGATTATTTCAGATAGTCAATGCATAGTGACGGGTGTCCCTCAAAGTTCGGTTTTAGGCTCTGTACTCTTGGTGTTGTCGTGTGGAAATGACGATGACCTCTCAGAGAAGTGCTGTGGGGTACTCGATAGATTGATCACATGGTTTGAAAAACTTAATTTATATTTCAGCACAAGTAAAACCCATACTCCAAGGTTTCATAATTAACAGAAACAATGTGATAATTTTAATATCACCTATGGCAATGACGCTATTCCAAGTAGGGATACTGTGAAGTTTCTAGGATTGAGTTTGGATGAATGTTTAAACTGGAGGTCTCATAGTGATACTCTTATTTCAACTCTAAATAGTGTCAATTATCTTTAACTAAATTTTCGTGAGATTTTAACTAGGTAAATGCCGATAAAGCATTTTTGACTGAAAAATGTATATTAAGGACTATTGCGCATATTTCCAAGTTTACGCCTTGTAGGTGCAGGGATTTATTTTTCCAGTGCAAAATTCTCACATTGGCCAGTCTTTAACAATTTATCGAAATTTAAATTAGTTGGTGATTTACATTCTAAGCATACAAAGACAGAGTGATAAGCTGCATGTTCCTTGCTGTAGGCTGTCGACTACTTGCTATTAGAGTTAAGAGAGAAAAGTTTAAAACCTTATCTAGACGAATTTTTTTGAGTAAATGTTTTTTTATATGTCTATATATATGTAGATTGATTATTTTTATACAATTTTGTAGTTGTCTTCGGGAAACTAAATATTATTATTATTATTGCATATATATATATATATATATATATATATATATATATATATATATATATATATATATATATATATATATATATATATATATATATATATATATATATATATATATATATATATATATATATATATATATATATATATATTGAACGGCAATTTTCCCAACTGCGTTGGAGCCGTATGAATTCGGACAATTAATTCAGCATATAAACAACGCCTCAAATTTCTTTAATCACAATGTGTGATGCAAATTATTGTGGAAAATATGCTCATTCTAATGCAGTTTCAAGGTTCAATACTTGTATTGGTTGCAGAAAATAACATTCCCGAACATCGAATCGTGTTCTTGCGGGAATTAAGAAATCAAGTTCAAAATGCAGAGCTGAAAAATAAGAATCAAAAAAAAATTGCAAATATTTTTACTCTTTCAGATAATAATGTTTTATTTTTTAGGTTTATTTTCTTTCTTTAAGAAAACATTAGATACATGTTTTGTTAGTTAAAAAGTTATATTACAAATTTATTGTGTAAAATTCATAATACCTACAGGTCTAATATATAAAGGCGTGTAAACAGTACATTTTGGAAATAGGTGCAACAAAATAAGTAATTTTGTATCTGTTAGAGTAGAAAGCATTTTCATTGTCAACAAATTTAATGCAAGGAAAAATCTTAATTAGAAAAAGGGAAGTTTTAACCGCAGGCTTACAGGAGGAAAACCATTTTTTGAACGTGCCTGTTGACTTTTAACCAATAAGTGGCGGGGATTATTAAATTATCTTGTTTCATGCTCAATTATGTAAGTTCAAGAGATAGGTATAAATTTTAGCACACCTTCTCTATGAAAGGAGTTTCCAAAGTCCATGAAAATGCACTCCGAACGGTTTTTTGGCAATACCCAAATATATAAACGTTAAATATACAATTACTATTCTACTATAAATAATTAGAGAAACTGTACAAAAGTAAATTAAATTTGCTGAACTAAAATTAGCAACTCTCCCGTTCCCTGTTGTTTGGCTTCTGTCATGTTATTATCATTTGGTACCAGCACAGCAGCCACAGTTTCAGCTTCAATGATACAATCTTTGTAAACTTCATTTTGTGGTATCCCAAATGCATCTATTTTCTTAAATAAGACTCATTAGAATTTCTGTTTCCATAAGTAACTCGTTTTTCGCTATTGTTCTTGCAGTAGAAATCAAACACTGATTTAATTAGGAGGTGATTAGCACATGACCGTCAGAACTACATGACCACTAGAGACATAGAAGCCCTACCTATGCCGATAATACAGAAGCTTATGAAGCAATTGTGCAAAAAAAAATTGTGAATGTCCATTCGACATGCGCAAGCGCGAGATTTAAATTTTCATTTTTAACTTAACTTAATAAGTTTGGATGAGGCATTTTCTTAAAACCTATATCTATATCTTGCTTAATGTTGCGGAAAAACCAGTTACCTTTGTGCAAATCGCTGTGAGAAAGAAACTGGCGCGTAGTGCAGGTTAGAGGGTGAAATGTAGAGACATAAGCGGAAAATCATTACCTTCCCTAAGAGAATGTCAGTGCGATTTCTGTGCATCGATTTTTACCGTGGTAGTAGTATCTAATGCCTATATGGACTCATGTTCTAAATTGCAACGAATCTAATTACTGACAGTGGAATTATAGCTATTAAAGTGACTATAAGTATTAGGAAGCAAATATTTTAGTTCTGCTTATCGATAAATTTTGAACGATTTTGAAAATATTCATGAGTATGATAAGATGGTTTGATTTTTTGAATCAAAGGAAAACAGCGATCAAGGATGTGATTTATATTTTTACAGGTAGGCTCCAAGCGTTACCAAGGGTTGATGCCAATCATGCCAATTAATTCAACATTGAGAAAAATGTAGGGGAGTCAAAATCACAAACTCAAAAGTTATTAAGGCGGTATAAAAGTTGTAAAAAGAGTGGACAAAGGTGGATGTAGTGGATATGCAGCACAAGAAAAAGTAGAAACCATATAAACTAAATAAAGCGCAACAATCGCATTCTGGAAATGCATTCTTCTTCAAAGATTCATGAAAAACTGACACAGGATCGCGAACGCCGCAAAGTTCTATCTCTGGTAATTACCGAGAAACCCCCCATGTGATGACAAGTCTCATGTGTAACAGCCATTAGAAACTTTAATTCTCAAATAAACTGACGCTGAATAAAGGCAACCACCACGAAACTAATGAGTAGAAGTAGAACTTTTAGCGTTTTATAAAAACTTTTAGTTCTTATTTATTTTGATAAATGGATTTTCATCAAGTAAAAGCCACCTCAGTTCAAGTTTTATATTTTAATAGGTACAGAACACAAGATATACATCTAACACTAAATAAAACAAAGTACAAAATTTTTGTAAACATTAAAAAGCGATTTAATATCAGTAGTAAATTAGTATTTAACAAGTTTGATAAATGTCAGCAAAAATTGGCAAATGTAAATGTATTTTCACCTACCAGATATGAAATATCTCGTTCACTTCTATCAACATTTTGACATTGCCGAAGTTTTAGTTGACGTACATCCGTTGATATTATATAATGCAAAGTAACAATTATTTGCTGATCTGACTTAGAGATAAATATTTATCAGCTTTTGAAGTCTCGCAGTTTTGTATAAATAAGAACAATTATGAACAATATGCCAATATCGAGACAGTCATGATGTATTACCAAATTTTAATAGGTGTATTATTCATATCGTTGGTGGTGAGTCAAGTTCAAAGGTCTTCCAAATTATACCTTACGCATAAAAATAATTAGACTCTCCTTACTAGATGTAGATTCAATCTTTAAATTTACAGTTGAATAGCAAAATGAGCAGTCCGTATATAGTAGATCTAATTTTGTTTATTGCTGTTCGCGAGAATATGTCATTTTTTCTTTTTAGGATGCAGATCTTTTGATCGATCTTCCGGACGGCACAATTCGTGGAGCCGAAACCAAAACCGAAAATTACACATACTATGCTTATCGAGGTATTCCGTTTGCAATTCCTCCGCTAGGAAGTTTGAGGTTCCAAGTAAATTAACTGAAAATTAGTAAAGTTTTCCATGGGTTTGAATAAAAATCGTAATTTCCTTACACGTTGCAGGCTCCAGTCCCAAACACACCATGGGATGGAATTCTAGACGCTACTAAGTCGAAAGATTGTTGCATATCGATGACCTATTCTGAAAATGAACCTGATCAAAGTGAGGACTGCCTTCATATCAATGTTTACACGCCTCCGCGAAATGTAAGGCTCTGCACATAAAATTTCATTAAATAAATAAACATCAATTTTTACTCAAATAAGAAGGATACCCTAGATAAGTTAACTTTATTACAATATGTACTTCGCGAAAATGATTTTGTAACTATAGAAAACGACACAATCACCTTGCAGAAGGAGGCGTAATCAAGAACTCCATCTGAACTGATCCAACTCATTTTTGAATATAAAGAGGAGTTGCATTTAAATATTTTTTGTATGAATGAAGTCAATCCTGTAGTGGTCTTTACGTCAGTTCAATTCAGTAATTAATGTAATTATATTGGCAGATTGCGGAGAAACTACCAGTAATGTTCTGGATATATGGGGGTGCATTTACAACCGGATGTTCCAGTGATAGTGTCTCGGATCCCCACGCTCTCGTAAGTGAAGACGTCATTGTGGTAACATTCAATTACCGTCTTGGTCTGTACGGTTTCTTAAGTACCAGTGATAAAGTAATTTTGGGCAATGCTGGACTCAAGGATCAACTTTTGGCATTGAAGTGGACTCAGAGAAACATTGAATTCTTTGGTGGTGATCCAGAAAAAGTGACAATATTTGGCGAGAGCGCAGGTGGTATGTCCGTGGGAGCACATATTGCAAACAAAAAATCAGCTGGATTATATAGAGCCGCGATTTGCCAGAGCGGTTGTTCTTTAACGAGTTTGGCACAAACATCTCAAACCAATCCGAAGCAAATTGCCTACGATATTGCCAGATCTATAAATCCATTTATTTCCCAAAATAGCGAGGAAATCAGAGACTTCTTGCAGAGTCAACCAGCTGATGTGTTGACTAAAGCCTTCAACGCTAACCCCCAAGTAAGTGGAAATTAAATTTGAGGTACGTATTTATAGAACATTTCTTTACAGTCAGGACCAGTAATAGAAGTTGAAGACGAGAATGCATATATCACAGATCTCCAGTTCGGGTTGATCGAATCTGGAAACTTTAACCAAGTACCTCTAATCATAGGAACAACTTCAGCCGAATCACTTATGTTTTTGGGAAGTGTGTAATTCTCTCCCTATATTTATTTCGTGTTAACAATATATTTTTCTGTGTTGTAGTTGTACTGCCCGAACTAATACTGGCTGCGCTTGCTTATGATTTAAATTCGGAGTTTCTAATACCGTCAAACCTAAATCCTTTGCCAGGTACTGATTTAACCGAAGCTAAAGAGTTAATCAAACAGGCATATACCAATCAATCATTTCTATTGGATTTGGCTTCGTTTGTAGAGGTAAAGATTTTCTTTAATTTACCCCAGACACACTATATCTAAAAAAAACTAAACAAACATCTCGACACTATTAGTGTTTGATGTAGCCCAAATAATTTTAGTTTACCACTGATCAATTATTTGTGAGATCGTCGCTCAAACAAGCTGAACTTCAGTCGAATTATGCTCCTGTGTATTTTTACCAGTTTTCTTATTCTGGAACGATAAGTCGGTTTCATACCGTGATTGAAGGTATTCCGTCGACATTTTCAAACCCGTTCAGAAAAAAGGAAGTCAATCGTTTTCAATTTAAGGTGTTGGAAAAGTCGGTCATGGAGAAGATGTCCTTTATCTCCTTGACTTCTCACCATTCCCACTGACCACAGACGAAGAATTTCTAACGAGAAGCAGAATGACTAGATTATGGACCAATTTCGCCAAAACACTGTGGGTTTGGTTCTTGTAAACACTAGTTTTATAGTATATGTTTATTTTTTTAGGAATCCCACTCCTGATGTGTCGGACCCCCTCCTCAATGTGACCTGGCCTCAAGTTGCTGGTTTAAACATCCCCTATCTCGATATAGATACGACTCTTGAGGTCAAGCCTGGTAAAAAGGCGAAAGAAATGAGAATGTGGAACGAAGTTTTCTATTCGTACGGCCAACAGCCCTTCGTGGGTTTCTGATTTTGTGAAACTATTTGTAAAATAGAAATTTTAACTATATAAAGTGATTTTTCTTTGCAGCTGTAGAAGGCCAGATGAGTTTCGCAGCTTGTTTAAACATATTTTATATTAACAACTAAACTGCGAAATGTAATCTGAAGAATTTGAGCCAAATAACACTGAGTATGTTTACGAACTAATAGTTTGTTTAACTAGGTTTTTAAATTTGCATTCTTTCCATCCAGTACCTCCATCGGAACGTAACAAATAAAATTTTAGTTATTCTCTCTATTTTAATTTAAATTTTGCGAGTTTAATAGACATAAAACAAATATAAGTGACCCTGGACATATATAATAAGAATTAAATTCTATCTTTATTACAATGTACATCCAATTAACATACACATTTCCTTTTGTACGTAATTAAAAAAAAATACCCAATCGCGTTATTAATGCGGTTCGCATGTGTTAAAGAGGTATTTGATTGACTTTAAGTTGCCTAAATCAAACTAACGTTATCATATCTAGGCAGCAGTGAAGACAACAGATGCTTCTGTCGAATTTGGGAGGATACTGGCTAGTCCTTCAAGAGGACATGAAGTTGTCATCAGTGTTGAGTGTCCAATTCCTGTACATTTCATTTTTATCAACATTTTCATAGGTGTATAGGGAACATTCCCAAACTGTGACAATATTCAGCAGTTCAAAGAAAATTTATTCAACAAAACTGATATGGTATCAAGTGAACATAAAAGATGGGATATCATTAATCCCGACGTTTCATCTCGAATGGGTAATCTACTGGGGAATGATAAATTTGACGCTGGATATTTTGGTAAGATACAGCAAATATTAAATCTTCAAAGATAAACCATTTACAACAATTCAGAAAGTTTTGACATTAAAAATGTTATTTTTAAAGGGATTCATCATAGACAAGCGACTTCTATGGACCCAATGATAAGACTTGGAAGGATCAGAAACAGGGGTTTTCGCTGGAGCCTGGTTAAGGGAAAACGAGCAATTGTGGAACCCGGAGAAACTACATGCTGAACAGTTTGCCATAACTGGGTAACTATTTACGCATATTTGTTCCAAAGTCTCAAGATATGAAATTATGACTTTTCAATACCTATGGGGGAAGATTAGTATTTCTGCTTTTATTTCAGCTCAGAGCGGTTCATGCTTGATAAAAGAATCAGTTACTTCTTAAAATTGGAAGCTCCTTCATTTGCATGCGACACCTCGCGAAGTACGTCACTTTACTGTTTGCAGCATGCCTACACAGCATTAAGAATGGGCCAATGTGATCAAGCCATCGTGTGCTCCGCAAATCTGATTCTACTTTCGTTGTATACACAGCAATTTGGGAGGTATGAACAATCTTTCTTTGGGTAGAAAATTATTATTCCATGCTTGATTTACTATGATCACTAGGTTGAATCTTTTAAGCAAGGACGGTAAATCTAAGTCATTTGACGACAATGCCGATGGTTTCGTCAGAGTAGAACCCATTATAGCGATGTTTCTTCAAAAGTCCAAAGATTCGAAACGCATTTACGCAACGGTGGTTCACGCGAAACGAAATTCGGACGGATTCAAGGATGCAGGCATCGTGTTTCAATCGCGAGAACTGCAAAAACAACTGTTAAAGGAATTTTACCAATTTTACCAAGAAAGCCAATGGGTTAAAGCATCTGATAACCCATTCTTGGAAGGTCACGTTACAGCTAAATATTTCATATAACGCATCGAAGTGCGCAATAACTGTCGCCCTTAAGGTACGAGAGCTGGTGATCCTGAGGAAGTGAATACCATAAAAGATACTTTGTTGAAGCAAAGATCTTCGCCGTTCCTCGTAGGATCTGTTAAATCCAATATGGGTCACGCTGAAAGTGCTGCTTCTCTATGTTCAGTGGCAAAGGTCGGATAAACGCATACCAGCTATGAACATCGTTAGGCGTGAATAAATACAGTACCAGTGCTAATTTTGCAGCCACACGTCTTACTGGAACAGTTCACCAAACCAAAAAGACCTGCTAAAACGTTGAAAGAGAAACGTTATTGGTTTGCGTTAGCAAACGTACCAAAGAGTCGGTTACTGCATTGCTCGACGATGTTATTGCAAACGGAACAGACAGAGAACAAATCGCGTTGTTGTACAATATTTTCAAGACTAACGTTAACGGTCATCTCTATTGAGGGTTTTCGATGGTATCGAAATTAGGTGAAACTTTGCGACCTATTAGTCTTACTAAAAGTCGCAAAACGCCTATAGTGTTTGTATTCACTTTACTACAGAACTCATACAACGAATCACTACGTCAACTGATACATATACCCTGCGCATCTAATACAATTCAAAGGTACTATTCTGGTGATATTCGTGTCGGTTTGATTAGAAATGGTGTTGTATTTTAGGATATCAGGTTACACAAAAGATAATGAGTGCTTTGGCAGCATATTGAACGATATATCAATCAACCTGCCAATCATAGATGTCCTTAAGGAAGTAAAAATTGAACCACAAAAAATTATCGACAAGTCGACTGGGGCATTGGCTTCTTCGTATTTTCGAAATGATATTACTCTGGAGGAGGCGCTTGATTATGTCGTAAAGAACAATAGCTTTAAATCTAACGTTTAAATTTTTTACATGACTTTTTCCAGTCTGTGGAGAGATGAATGTCGCAGCCGTTTAAGATAATCTGTTATTCGTTTGGAGTGATTGTAGCTCTCGCATTAGCGAATATTTTGGAAACCAAGGGTTACTGCGGTAGCATAGTTTGTATAGACGGAGCACCAGATCAAATGAAAATGAAAATGAATACAAAAATTTCACTTTCGCTAGAGGAACAACGATTGTACGCATCTGCAGTGCATAAAAGATACATAGGTATATTGAAGTTCGAGCCGACATTTAAGTTGCACTCATTAGTGACGCTGCTGAAGCCGACTCAAAAGATTTTGAACATCTAAAAAGAAGACTATGGTCTTTCGAATGTGAACCATTTTGAAAAACCAGAAACTTTGGCAATTTGTTGCCACCAGTTTGAACATCTGAAATGTATTTTTTTAGAAAATAATTTCTTTGATGTGCTTGTTTCATTTATTAACACACAAAAAACATTTTAGAGTATCTGCATTACTTAACGACATACTTCAGCGAGACGTTTTTACCAAATAAGTTCCCATTATATTAATTATTTAGATAAGTATAAAAAGTAATGGATGTTTATGTCACTTTCGTGAAACAAAATAAAGACCCTAAAAATATTTCAATGCTAATCGTTGATATTATGGACTCCTCACGAATGTCGAAAGAATATATCTCGCTTTGCTCCTACAGTATTCAGATTTTTTTGTAGTCCTCGTAGTATTCGCATAAGATGGAAGTGGAACTAAGCTTATTAAATTTTAAATGTTATTGATTGTCGTTCGACTGTGGAAGTGCACATTATCCAATAGTGACTTATCCACCGACGATCAAGCATAATATGGGTCATACATCAGCACTTGAATACATTCCTTATAACTGATAAAATTAATAATATATATAATTTATAAAGTGTGAAACGAGTGGATATGATAATTGTCAACAATTGAAAATTGTCACTTCCATTTTCTGAAGAAAATATTTTGTCTGGTTGACTACCAACTGCGATTCTTTGGTTCGCCGATCTTCTATTTTTTTATTATTTTTTTTCTTCAAAAATAATTTCATTTTATTTACTTTAGGTTACATATCGGGTTCTAAACTTAGACAGTATTACTATGGTCACAGCAAGGTGTTTTCTTTCCTTAATTTGCAAGAAACATTTCTGTTTTTTGAGAGTCAAGAGCAATAGATTTGTTCCCTAAAATGTGAAAACTCTAGATATAATCATTTTCTTCCTTTTGAGAGTGTACAACAAGCTATGATTCTGAGGCTTCATATATCACTTAAGCAAACTAACTGTTGACTAAATTTCACTTTCAGGGACTCTTGTAGACAAATACATAAGGTACATAAGGAATAGTAATAGTGTTTTTCAAGTCAAAATCATTTATGAAAATTCGGATGAATTTATTATAGTTTATTATGTTAAACTACGGAATTTGATGACTTCGCCGAACGTACGGTATTATAGGACAGTTGAATTATATCGGCTAAACATATTGAATCAAATTTTAGATTAGTTTGATATTGCAATGTCAAGTGCTGATATTTTTCATATAAATAAGACGAAAATGATACCCAAAAGTTAAGAACTGGAAAATGCTTCATTTAGTGTTAATAATTGTCCTATTTGCTGCGTCTGCGGTAAGTGTACTAAAGAAGTGGCAAAATTTGAAAACATTGCAAATTCGTATTTACCTACAGCTCGCGGATCTTTTGATCGACATTCCGGATGGCACTCTTCTAGGCTCGGAAATCAAAACTGAAAACTACACATATTACGCTTATCGTGGTATTCCATTCGCGTTACCACCGCTGGATAAATTGAGATTCCAGGTTCTGACTACCAATATGCACTAAGTATATAGTACCAACCAAGACTTAATTTTGCAGGCTCCCGTACCCAATGAGCCCTGGAATGGAATCCTAAACGCGACGGCATTAAAAAGTTGTTGTTTACAAATGGAATCCATTGGAAATCCGGATAGGTTCAGCGAAGACTGCCTGCATATTAATGTGTATACACCAGCAAGGAAGGTAAGTACATTGAAACCGTAATGAAAAGTAGACAAACACCGAAAAAAAATCAACGTTAGATATGCATTTTCCAAAGCCTAAGACTAAATGTTATGACAATGCATTTCAGTCATGCAGTGGTGTTGGTAATAGAGCTAAATTTCTCCATTATTAATGGATTGCTTTCAGATTACCGAAAAATTGCCAGTAATGTTGTGGATATATGGAGGAGGATTTTATTTTGGATGCGCATCGGACGTCATTTATGATCCATTTCCTCTTGTAAATGAAGATGTTATAGTGGTCACGTTTAACTATCGTCTAGGAGTATTCGGGTTCCTCTCTACCGAAGACAATGTGATCCTAGGTAATGCTGGATTAAAAGACCAGCTGCTCGCTATGAAATGGACTCAGAAAAACATCGAATTTTTCGGCGGAGATCCGGAAAAAGTTACTCTGTTTGGCGAAAGTGCGGGGGGTATATCCGTCGGAGCACACATTGTAAACAGAAAGTCGGCTGGTCTGTATAGGGCGGCAATCTGTCAGAGTGGTTGTTCGTTGGTGAAGTTAGCCCAGACATCACAAACTAATCCTAGGCAAGGCGCTTACGATATTGCGAGGTCAGTAAATCCACTTATATCGGAGAAGAATACGACAGCGGAAATTAGAGATTTGCTGCAAGGTATATCAGCTGATACCTTGGTGGAGGCATTCCAAGCAAATTCACAAGTTAGTGTCGTTTATAGGCTGGAACGTACACTTTTTACTTTCTTCTTTCTTCAGACTGGGCCTATAGTAGAAATTCAAGACGAAAATGCTTACGTCACAGATCTCAGCTTCGGACTTCTGGAATCTGGCGACTTCAACCAAGTTCCGTGTATTATCGGTACCACGTCAGCAGAAGTTCTTGGTCTTATAAATTGTAACATGCAATAAACAAAAGGTAATTAAAATCGCCAATTTAACTATGTTTCAGCAACACCTGAAATGCTTCTCTCCGCCGCCGAAGTATACGATTCGAGCTCGAGTATTGTAATACCTTCAAATTTGAAGCTTCTGCCATTTGCTGATCCAGATGAAGTAGCGTCTTTGATAAAAAGGCCATACACGGGGGGTCTACCATTTGCAACAAACCTCACAGGATTCATAGAAGTACAAACTCTCTGTAGCTCAAAAATTTTGAATAATAAAAAAAACCATTTTTCAGTATAGCAACGACCTCACTTTTGGGAAAGCATCCCTTAAACAAGCTGAAATTCAGTCTAGCTATTCACCCGTTTACTTTTATCAGTTCTCTTACTCAGGTAGCATGAACCAGGGGCAAACTATTGTGGAGGGTTGGTAACCGTTTGAAACATAAACTGGAAATCGAATCCGTGTTAAATTATAGGTGCTGGGAATGTAGGTCATGGCCAAGAATTGTACTATATTTTTAATACTATCGGTTATTCTTTAACTTCGAACGAGGATTTTCTGACCAGGAATAGAATGACAAAGCTTTGGACCAATTTCGCGAAAACTTTGTAAGATTTGCGTAAGACTGTTGATATTATGAGGCGATTAACTACTTTTAGGAATCCCACTCCGGATTCATCGGATCCCTTGCTCAACGTAACATGGCCTCAAATTTCCGGAACGATTATCCCGTACCTTGATGTAGACGAGATACTTGAAGTTAAATCGGGAAAAAAGAAGACAGAAATGGTAATGTGGAACTATGTTTACTACACTTATGGCGAGCAGCCTTTCGACGGATTCTGAACATTTGGCACTTTATTATCGCTTGATCTTATCAATGTCATTTATTAATTCAATAGGATTATATACAAATAAAAATTCATCAGCGCAAATAATAAGATAATGAATCATCAATGACCAAGTGTTTTATTTGTTTAAATTGTTCAAATAGTTTAAAAAACTCCACAATATTATAAAACTATTGACACAAAAATGTTATCAATGGCTGCACAACTGTCAAACAGACTCTGGAGAAGGACGAGTTGAAATGGTGTTGCAATTTTAAATCAACTAACACCTAAAAGTCTTTAGTTTTATATTATAATACGTAGGAAAAAGACCGAACCGTTATCATTATTAATAGAGTTCATAGCAAGGCTTTGAAATCAAAGCCGAAAACCACATAGCTTATCTCTGTATTCTATTTGCATTACCTTCAGTAGCAGAACTCAGATTTTAGGTAAAAATGCTATCGCATCATGGTTGTGATAGTATTTATTGTAAGCTGCGTTTTTAAGGTACAGGTATCAGACGGGACGGACTCCTAAATGCCACGGAAACCAAACTAACCAGAATATTGCGAAAATTGTGTTAATGTATACACACGAGCACGGAACGTGAGTGAATAAATAGTTATTCGATGGAGAGGAATATATAATAGAGAAAGTTATCAATTTTGGAGACATATAAATAGGTAGATGCGTAGATCGGGTGCGTATCCAGCAAATGCATTGGGAGAGTGAGATTGCTGGCAATGGCCAAGAAATTGTTAACTTATTTGCAAAACACTTTTCATCTACATACAAAAAACATGAAGGGGATGTTCCTGAGTATAAATTTGACTGTGTTTTGGAATTAAATGTCATTATCTTTACTCTGAGTGGAATATTTGCGAGGATAGATAGCTTTCGGACTAAGTAGTCGCATAGCCCGGACGGTATTCCATCTATTTTATTTAAAAAATGTGTGTGTAACGCCAATCCACAAAAATGGTAACAGAAGCAATATTCGTAACTATAGAGGTATATGCATACAATCTGTCATTCCCAATATTTTTGATAAACTATTCTGTCAGCACTTTTCCTGGTATGGTAAAAAAATTATGTGTGACAACCAGCACGGGTTTTCTCGGGGTAGGTTCACTGTGACTAACCTGCTGACTTATCAGCTGGATCTGTTGGGTGCTCTTGAGAAGTCTAAACAAGTGGACAATGTCTACACGGACTTTTCGAAGGCGTTTGACAGGGTCAGTCATGAGCATCGTGTTTGTAAGTTTCGGGCCATGGGACTGGGTGGTACTCTGGTTGAATTTTGTCACAGCTTTTTAACAATGCGTACACAGCAGGTCCGAATCAACAACTATATTTCCAGCGAAATTGTGGTGCACTCGGGTGTGCCTTAGGGTTCACACATAGGTCCAGTTTTCTTTAATTTGTTTATAAGAGAACTGAGTGATGTGGTTCTTTATTCTGAACATCTTGCCTTTGAAGATGATGTTAAATTTTACAAAAAAATTAAATCATTTATGGACGCTCGGCTTCTTCAGAGCGACCTTAATAATGTCAGTTCCTGGTGCAGAGAAAATTGTCTGGATCTAAATGTTGGAAAGTGTTTTAGTATTACTTTTTCTCACTTAACTAATACATTCAAAATAGATGTAATATTAATAATACGACGATAGAATTTATCACCACAGTTAGGGCCTTGGAGTCATCTTTGATGGTAAACTGACCTTTTTGAATCAGCTGGAGGATAAGGTCTGGGCTTTATTATATGCTCTCATCCGACTGTTTTAAAACCCTTTATTGCTCCTTAGTTAGATCTACATTGGAGTATGCATCAGTAGTGTGGTCTCCACATTACAGATGTCACATTGATATATTGGAGACTGTTCAAAAAGCATTTCTGAGGTCACTAGCATATAGAGCGGGTATAAATATCTACAATAACTTTCACATTAATTATGTTCTGGTATGGGAGCCTTTTGGGGTAGAAGAACCTACTCCGATATCTTGAGGTTTTATAAAATTTTCAACGTTGTATATAACTGTCGGGCTCTCCTCCAGTCTATTGATTTTAACATCTATCAAAGACGTCAGAGCCCCGCAATGTTTCATGTATTCCATTTCATCACGCCAACTATGACTATTTTTCACCTTTAACTCGAACCTTGAGGTTGTTTAGCAGTTGCTCTCTTGATCCTTTTGCTGGCAGTCTTCGACTATTTAAGACAAAATTAAACCAGGTAGTTGATTGTAGTCGTAACTAGTGTGACAGTGTTTGCATACTGATTCTTACTGTTTTTGTGCTTTTATGTATTTTATATGATCATTTGAAAATTTTCTTATCTAAGTTGTTGTTTTGTCATGTTGCTATTTATATTTTTTATTACTTTTTATTTGTAAATTGGCTCAGCCGTTGAAATTAATAAATAAATAAAACCTTGCAGAATAATAAGTTAATAAATAATTAATTTAAAAAGATTTCCTTCATATCATTTCGGAGTCGGGTAATGCGGACAAATTATAAAAAAAAATAGATTTTGATTTGAATTTATATTTCAGAAACCACAACTTTAAGTTATACAAATGCAATCGGTATTTTCAGATTACCGAAAAATTGCAAGCTATGTTTTGGATATATGGAGGGCGGATGCCCATCTGATGCTCATCAGTACGGATCACATGTACTCGTGAATGAAGAAGTTATAGTTGTCATGTTCAAATATCGTCTAGAAGTTGTTGGTCTTCTATCTACCAAAGACAACGTCATCCTGAGCAAAGCCGCGCTTAAAGACAAGCTCTCGCTATGAAAAATCGATTTTTTTGGCGGATATTCAAACAAAGTCCGAGCCCATATAGCAAACAAAAAAACGGCTGGGCTCTATAGGGCCGAGATCTGTCATAGTGGTTAAATTCGGACAAATTTCCCATCACAGCCCAATTCCAAGCAAGTCGCTTACGACATTGGGAAATTTGCCATTAATTTCTGAAAAAGGAGGAAGCCAAACGTATTATGCAAAATCTGCACATTGGTGTCTTGGTTTTGATGTTCTATGCAAATAATAAAGCAAGTATCTATCAACCCATTACATATGAGTATCTAGGTTCGTGGCGTGTCCAATTCCAAGTTCTTTTTTCTTGTTTTAGAGATATAAGTTAAAAACGCTTATGTCACAGATCTCTACCCTTTACCAATCTCTCATACGATCATAAAAAAGACGGGTGGGACGCATTGAGTCCCGCATTTGTCGATGTAAATATGGTAGCAAGAGAAATAAAGATTACTAACACATACAGCGCCATTTTTAGTAGGTAACCGACCTCGTGTTCTTGAAACCATCATTCAAAGAAGATGAAATTCAATGGAGGTATTCAGCCGTGTAACTTCATCAGTTTACGTTCTGCTTTTCCAACAGTCAGGGCATATTGTGGTAATCGTCTGAACCATAAAGTGGAATGAAAGTAGGGTTGAATTCCAGGCAATGGGAATGCAGCTCACGGTGAAGACATTTCCTTAACGAGATTTTGCGAAGACTTTGTTTGTCTGTTCGTTTGTCGGTTAATCAGCAACGTTTCTATTACGATTATCCCATATCTGGATACGGACCATAATCTTAAACTTAATCCCTACAAAAAGAAGATGGAAGTTGCTTCGTGGGACTACGCTTACCACACTTACGGGGGGCAAACATTGATGGCCAAGGAAAACTGTCTTAGAGAGAGAGAGAGAGAGAGAGAGAGAGAGAGAGAGAGAGAGAGAGAGAGAGAGAGAGAGAGAGAGAGAGAGAGAGAGAGAGAGAGAGAGAGAGAGAGAGAGAGAGAGGGAGAGAGTGGTGCGAGACCGACGCTTTCGCAACTTTGCTGTCGCTTAATCTTATCATCTTTGTTTCACGTTTTTTCAACTTAGAGGAGATAGATAGATTCATCACGTAAATAATAAAATAATGAATCATCAACGGCTAAGTGTTTTATTTGTTTAATTTGTTACAAGCAGTTTGAAAAATATCACGAAGAAGAGGAAAAATGTTGTCAACTCGGGCACGTTATAACACCAAATATAATTTTAACTTTACTGGGTGTTGCAAGTTTTAAGTAAGACCAAAAAATTTTCAATTTACTGTTCACACTAGATGGTACAAATGCATCGAACCGTTGCCCACTTAAAAGCCTAGATTGAGCTGATATTGTGTGATAAGTGTGAAGCACTTATTATGTTTCACATATAAATTAAAGCAAACCTTGAATGCTACGAAATTAACAATGTATCATTCACTACCAATAATTGCTTTATTCGCTGCAGCCGTGGTAAGTATATTAAAAAATTCAGAAAGGTTAATTGTCTTTTTGGTAACTTTACGAATGAAACTGGTTTTCAATAATTATACCTTTGTTCTGTGACATGCAAATTTACTTTTGCATTACAGAACGCAGGTCTTTTGATCGACCTTCCGCACGGCACTATTCAAGGTTCGGAAATAAAGAATGAAAATCACACTTACTACGCTTACCGGGGTATTCCGTTTGCTTTACCTCCTCTAGGAAATCTAAGATTCCAGGTAAAAATTAAAAATATGCACTTCTCTATTGTACTAACTACATTATGCAGGCTCCAATCCCCAATGAGCCATGGAACGGGGTTTTGAATGCTACGGAAATGAAAAGTTGTTGTGTACAAATGGATTCCGTTGGAAATCCGGATAGGTTCAGCGAAGACTGCTTACATATTAATGTTTATACGCCAGCACGAAACGTAAGCAAAAAATTATTTGTTAAAGAATTATACAGAGCAAGCCGACAAACTCTGAAAACAAAATCTAAAAAATAATTTCATTGGATAATAAGGAAAATGGTTTTCATTTTGAACAAATGGGATACTAAGGTTTCCATTACAATCAAATTGTTTTCAGATTTCCGAGAAGTTGCCAGTTATGTTATGGATATATGGAGGGGGATTCTTGTTCGGGTGCGCATCAGATATCATTTTTGGACCATACCCTCTTGTGGACGAAGACGTTATAGTGGTTACTTTCAATTATCGTCTGGGGGTATTGGGGTTCCTCTCCACAGAAGACAAAGTGGTTTTGGGCAACGCCGCACTGAAGGACCAGCTGCTCGCTATGAAATGGACTCAGAAAAACATTGAATACTTCGGTGGGGATCCTGAAAAAGTTACCTTATTTGGTCAAAGTGCCGGAGGTATATCCGTTGGAGCTCATATCGTCAATAAGAAATCAGCTGGACTGTATAGGGCTGCGATCTGTCAAAGTGGTTGTTCATTGACAAACTTAGCACAGTTAACACAACCCAATCCCAGGAAAGCCGCTTATGATATTGCGAGATCCGTTAATCCATCCATTTCGGAGGAAAATACGACCGACGAGGTCGTTGATTTCCTGCAAAGTCTGCCAGTCGATGTCTTGGTGGATGCATTTAAAACAAATCCCATAGTTAGTATCTCTCGATTTTTAGAATATTGCTTCTAGGTTGGTTGCTAATATCTTAACATTTTTTGCAGGTGGGACCAATAGTAGAAATAGAAGACGAAAACGCCTACGTCACAGACCTTAGCTTCGGGCTCTTGGAATCAGGCAATTTCAATCAGGTTCCGTGTATAATCGGTACTACTTCCGCTGAATCTCTTGGTATGGTAGGATGTAAGTAAAACTATCCAAAACGAAACAATATCAAGCTATGAACTTGGTTCTAGCAACACTCGTATTGCTTCTAACCAGCGCTGCAACATTCGATTCGGGCACTACGGTAGTACCTTCAAATCTAAAGCCTCTGCCTTTAACGAATCTAGACGAGGTGGCATCTTTGATAAAAAAGTCATACACCGGCGGTTTGCCATTTCTGACAAATCTTACAGGATTCGTTGAGGTAAATACACGTAGCTAGTAATTGGTTAATGAGACAGACACATTTTTCAGTACGGAAGCGATCTAGCGTTTGTAAAATCATCCCTGAAACAAGCTGAAGTTCAATCTAGTTATTCGCCCGTATACTTTTATCAGTTTTCCTACTCCGGTAGCATCAGCAAAGTGCTGCATATTGAGGTTGAAGGTGGGTAATATAATTAAATGCGCAGCGCAAAATATAATTAAGTTGTGATAAGCTGTGTTAGGCTTTCCCGGACATCGTGGCTCAAGCAAAGGTTTCTTTGGGTTCTTTTCCGTCGGAGAGTTTTGTATGTTGTTGACATTTCAACAATACTCTCCTCCACTACTGCCAAAGCACCAGGAAACATTTATTTACAATTAAACCGTTTTCCAGGAGCTGGAAACGTAGGTCACACTGAAGACTTGTACTATCTTTTCAATGTGATGGATTTTCAATTGACTTCCCAAGAAGAGTTGCTCACCAGAAGTAGAATGAAGAAGCTTTGGACTAATTTCGCGAAATCTCTGTAAGGTTAGAGAAACTGTTTGAGCCCGTTAAATGCAGATTTTTTTTTTTAGCAATCCCACGCCGGACCCATCGGATCCCCTGCTCAATGTAACATGGCCACAAGTTTCCGGAACGAATATTCCGTATCTAGATATAGACAAGATCCTCGAAGTTAAACCCGGCAAAAAGAAGGTGGAAATGGCTATGTGGGACTACGTTTACTACACTTACGGGGAGCAACCTTTCGTAGGATTCTGAATATTTAGAAACGTTTGTTGTTCTTAGATCATATTTTCTATGAAGATCTGTAGTTTTACCAATACTACATAATAATTTAGAAGAAATAAAATAAAATACGTGCAAAAATTGCGTAGAGTGTCAAATTCCGACTAATAAAAAATAAATAACTCATTGCGAGAAAGGCTTCTTATTCTTCTAATAATTTATATTTTGAAAACAACAAAAAATTCAGAGAGTCACATTTTCCGACTTGGAGGGACTTTTTTACAGAGACGCAAGATTTTTTGTGCTAAATATATGAAGAGTATGATCGCCACTGAAGTGTTTTAGAAAACATTTTTGAACATTTAACATTTACGGCTACCAAAACTACATTTTAATTTCTCATTCATAAATTTTAAAAAATTATAAAGAAATGAAACTTTACTGTTTTTGTGGAATCTGCCACTTAATTTTGCTTAAACTTGCTGAATCAAAAAAACATTTACCTATGATTGTTGTTAATGGCAATGCTATTAGTGATAAGTATATGATTCATATATTTTTTTATCTGTTGATTGTAATTATCAGCACTTGCGTTTATGACGTGATTTATTTATATATATTTATATAATATAATCGGTAGAAAGCAGATAAATCGATAAGCCGATTGCCCTATATCACTGCCACCAGTAATTGTATTTTGAACTTTAAAACCTTTTCTCATTACAATGAATACCGCTGACTTTGTTAAATTAATTCACGAATAATATTTAGAACGATTAAAATAAAATTGTTATTAAGGAAGTTTTGGAGCGGATCCGTCGCAATATTGGCAACTCCATATAGTACCCATAGCTGCATTCTTCGTTGCCAGCCTTTTAAAAATGAAGTTCGGTATTTTTGTAGAATTAAACTTTTAGTCATTCCCTAAATTCATGTGCTTTGTATTTCAACACTACTTTTGGCTACAGCACGCAGAACTCCTGATCGACCTTCCCGACGGTAAAATTCGTGGGTCTGCAATCAAAGGTGAAAATTACCGAGAGCTGAAATTTCAAGTAAAAATTGCTAACGTGTGATGGTGTTTTCCAGTGAATGGTGCCCAGTATAATGCTCTACACTTGACAGTGTAGAGCATTATACCAGAGTCCGAATTGCTAATAGCTTTTCCGTAGCAAAATCAGTTGTACCCACCAACATTGTATCCACTTTTTAGTGGCAATGCAACAGTTTTGTTTCTACTAACGAAAAGATTTGTGCCCATTTTATGGTTACATTGTTGACTATTATGTACTAAAATATGCATATTTTTTGAAATAATATAATAATTATATCTCTTCACTCAAATAATATATTTTACATCAGCTTAGACAATAAACAACAAATATTACGCCTGCGTCTGTTCAACTCATCTGAAATTATGAAGTTCATTTCTTTTCTTCCACTTAACCAGGTAAATGGAAAACGCAATAATATGCATGCACATATTAATTATTGATTATACATGTTATAAATCAAACTATTTTGAGCGTGTCTTATACGTCGACAGTCGTATTTTCGATTAAATGTGTGTTTTTTTTCTCTTTTGAATGTTATATCATAACTTTTCTTATATCCAAGATTTAATATAACGGGTAGCCCAAAAAAATGTTCATCTTTTGGATATCACAAGAAAGAATTCAGATGCAAGTTATATCAACTGTACTCAAGTTAGTATGTATCTTGTTTTCAAAATAGAAAAAATGCGTTTCTATCTCTTTTTTTAACGGTTGAAATGTTTCGATTGCAGTAAGGATAAAATTCCTTTTGACAAGACAAATAATAATTCTATTTTAAATAGGAATAAATTAGATACAACGCTGGAACCTAAAATACTAAAAATAAATTGTGTTCAATGCTGCAAAAAATATAATGCACTTACTATCTACATTCTCATTTAAAGAGCAATTACCACATTTGGTTCAACTCTATATCTACTCGTTTATTAGATTTATAAATCAGATTCCTTTCAGATTACCGAGAAATTGCCAGTTGAGTAGTGGATATACGGATATTCATCAGATCTTTCGTTCGGACCAAGCCCTCTTGTAAAGAAAGACGTTATAGTGGTCATGGCAAATTATTGTTTGGGACTATTTAGATTTCTATCTAGTAAAAGACCAACTGCACGCTACGGATTGGACTCAAAAAAACATAGAATTTTTCAGCGGAGACTCAAACCTATGTAGATGGTTGCCCTTTATCGAATTTCGGGAAACCGCTTATAAGAAGGCGAAATCGGTAGATCCCTTATTTTCGGAGCAGAATACAACCAAACTAACCAAGGATTTTCCCCAAAGCCAGCCACATCCTCAAGTTACAATATATCCGTTTGAAATCATTTTCAATTCCACTTTCGTTTTTTAAAAAGATTTTAACTTCGAACTTCTGCAGAGGCTCTCGCTATGATAGGCTGTAGGCGAAGCAATTAATTAAAAGAAGCCAAGGTACTTACATATCCACCATACTACCAGCCTCATTTCGAAAACCGAGGCATTCGATTCTAGAGTGGGTGCTTTAATACCTTCAAACATCAAACCACTGGCCTTTTGCCAATCTACGAGAGGTCGGGTCTTTGATAAAAAAAATCTACAGAGATGATTAACGATCAGTTTTATTAAAGTAGATTTAGTTTTAGTACATCAGTGAAATAGTTTTTGTGAAATCAACCTTAAAACAAACTGGAATTCAATCCAGTTATTCACTGGTGTACTTTCAGTAGTCTAAATAGCCGAAGCCACATCTTAGTGGAAGGTGAGCAATCTTACCAAAAATGATGAGCGAAGCGGGACGAGTGACGCTGAAGACCTTACTATCTATTTAAGAATGTGATGGATTTCAAATTATCTTTGGACGAAGAATTTTACAAGAAGTAGGATGACGAGGCTATGTGCAAATTTCGTTAGAACTTTCTACGGCTGTTAGTTATTTATTTTCTTATTTAAAAGTTTCCCTCAAAATATATTGACAAATAAAGCCGATGTGACAGACAAATTTTGCAAACACTATAATTAATTCTAAGATTTGCACAGAATCTGGATGAAATTTGTAGACTTTCTGAAAATTTTTAGAAAACTTTTTGAGAGTTATTTTAAATTTATCAGCTAGGAAAGCCCATTAAAATGAACTTTCCAACATTTTACAAAACATTTACTTAAAACTTTTTTTTAGAAACGCTACTCCGAACCTATTAGACCTATTCGCTGCTCCAACATAATTTGGCATCAAGCTTCAGGGACAATCATTCCGTAGCTGGATATAAACCGGACACTCGAAGTTAAAACTGGGAAGAAAAGAATAGAAATGGGCATGTGGAACTATATTTATTATAGTTATGGAGAGTAACCCTTCGAAGGATTCGTAACCGGCGATATCGATAGAATTTTTTATGTCTATAAATTTAAACTTAGATCCTAGATAGTTATATAAATCAGTTTTATTTGATCCGTTCGATAAAATTCGTGTCAACTTCAAAGTTAATTTTCTCTTGAACTGCTGATTGGATTTCTAATTGTAACTGACGCTCTGAAGAACATGTTTAATTATGTTTATACATACATATACAGAGTAACGTAAAATTATTACAAAATTTGCAATATCTGGTCTCCTTACTTCTTATAATCGATTGACATCGACGATCCCACACTTTGAACCAAAAGTTTAATTTGTGGTTGATCGACATTAGTCTACTTTTCATCATCACCACTTGTGTGAAGGCCACTCAAAGATCTCATTTAAATAATTGAAATAACATTCTTCCATAATGTTGTCTGGGATTATAAAATTCCAGTTATAATCTACCGACTTACTAACGAACAGAGATAAAGACGTGAATAACAAAACAAGATGCATTGACTTTGAAAGACACTTATATAATTGACACTAATTCCCATACCACTCTTAAACTTGTATTTATATATGTATAGGTAAATGCATTTCATAACATCGTTTCTAAAGATTTAATACAATTATGCAAAATGTATAAAAATATCCCATATCGAAGATATATCCAAATGTAACCAGCAATTCGTAAGAAAATTAATTTTAAAGTTCAATCAAATTTTATTCGTGGGAAGTAAACATGTAATGAAGTTATACATTTTCGATGCACAATATCATTTTTCTAGAAAGTAAATTGCTAAACTGAGCACAAAAGTGGTATATTGCGCTCATAAAATCGTCAAAGTCCACAACTCTTATGGATTAATGACAGAGAAGAGCTTTGCTTCACCTGAACTATGACATTCGATAATATTTTATAGCCTCTTTTCCATATTTTTCTTTTAAAACGGCAAAATCAGTTTTATACTAAATACTCTACAATAATTAACTAAAAGATGAATATAGTATTATTACATACATTCTTATTATTCAACAGTTATTAACACGTGACTGAAGTAACGTATCTACTAAATTAGTTATACCAACAGGATCCAAAATGCCTCAAAAATTCTTTACACCAGTTTTCAACCGTGCGGCTCATTTATCATTGCCTTGAAATTAGGTTTCTTTATGAAATATGTATTTCATAATGAAAACTTGTTACAATAAAAAACTCAACAAGCCGAATCTGCCTGAATCTACTATAGACAATTGATATTTTGTTTTTCTTGTTTCAAAATCCCAAAAGAAGAGTTCAAATATTTTATACTGTCATTTTATATTGTCATTTCTATAGCAACAAAGAAAAGCCCTTGGTCCTTGGGACTCGAAAAAATGCAGGACTGTGTTTATGGGAAGTTGTGATTATACTTATTTGACTTCTTTCCCAGCTGGTTAACAGAGGAATAGTAATTTACTTTTGTCGTCGACAACCTCTATGATATAACGTACTTCTACTACTGCTAGATTTTGAACTTCATCCACCTAAATCCGTGAAAGGGTTCAACACGGATTGCAGTCTTATTGAACTTACAAGAATGTTTGATATTCTTTAATTTAATTATTTAAACTCTTTATGAGCCGAAAGTACCTTACTGCCAAAAAGAACACCGCACGGACTATGGGGAATTTGTGACTTTTAAATTTCACGTTTATCTTTTTTTAGGAGCTGATTTTTAAAAACTAATGAGAAATATTGGATACCATATTTCATCTGAGAACCTCAACAGTCGTAGAAAACAGAGTTTCGAGATAACTAGTCTGAAAATT